AATCATTTCTGCTGTCTGAGAAGGATATCTGGATTGGGAGCCTGGTCGAAGACATGTTCCATTTTCGTTTCTCTTCTTCCCCTTCCTTCCCCCCTTTTCCCTCCTACGATTTCTGCAACGGCCGTTGCTCGGGTCGTTGGGCTTGGGGGCAAAAGTGGCTAGACCACGCGTCTCTCGGAGGATGATGGCCTTGGTTGTAATTTGGATTCTCCGTCCTTTTGTGATTTAGCCATAGTCAATGTAGTCCTTTGTAATGTATGAGTTGTTGTCTGATTGTGGTTTCGTCATAGGAAATGGTGCTCGACGGGCTGAGTGATACTCTGTAGCACATTCTACGTAGGAGCCTGCTCTACAGAGAGGGGATTGTACCGTACGGACTACCATGTACGGAGTAGCCACGTATGAAGGGAGGAATAACTAATTGGATCTTCTTCCTTGCTCATCCCTGGTGGCAGATCTAGATCAGACCAATCTAAGTATAGATAGATCTATTGCTTCTTCTCCTAGTCGAAGCCTAGCTTGGGTATAATGCGGGCCTTGATCGGTCGCTACTCTTCTGGATTGTTCGATTGGGGACTGCAAATGCAAGCTGGCCCCAGCTGCAACACCAGTAGTACAGTGGTTGGGGGAACACTGGGATATAGCAGAGTGATGCGTGGAAGGAGGTTATTGGTTTATCTCTAATTGGAACTCTGGAGAGCTACAGTAGTACCATGCATAATATGAGTATGAGGTAGGCATGGGGATTATAGATAGTCCAAACTACAGCCATTTGTTGTTGCAGCAGAAGCTAATAGATATGCAGCGTAGCATATCCATACGATACCGTACGAGAAGCATACCGTTTATTACGCTATCGTCTTCCGCAGCTATTCGTACTGTACTGTATGTCCACCGCATCTGCTGAGAGGGTCGCTGATACACATTTTCATCCTAAGGAAGGAGGTAAGAAAAACAACGAGATGAAAGGGCCCATATGATGCTAGGAAACTCCCCAGGGAACGAACCATGATCGTTAGTATCGAGGCTTCTAGACCAAGTTCCGCCGAAGTGAAGGACTCCCAGCACCACGTCATCTGGGCTTCTTCAAAGCCCTCGACGTCATGAGCGAATCATCACGTGATGTGACGCACCGTCCTTGGGGAAACAGGCCCGATTTCCATTCCGTAACCGCCAGCTCGTCCTTTTGAATCTCACCTCTCCTTCCCTTTCCTCTTCCACCAGCTCTGCCAAAAACATCCTGCCTACTGATAACGATTCGACTCTTCTCCTTCACAACCACCTTGTTCGTACTCTTCCCCCTCCAACCCCCCGAAAACCTTCCCCAAACTTTCAACTTTCCATCTCACAATACCTCGATCTAATCGTAGTTGTTCAGATTAGCTTGTCCAATCCATCCGAAATGGCTTCTTTCCAGGATCGTGCTCAGCACGCCATTGCCCAGCTCGACAAGGAGGTAAGTGTCGTGTGTGCGTCGGCTTCGGCCTCATCCGTGTCTTGCTTTGTGTGAACTGTGACATCTCAGGCTTCATTTGCTCTGATTTGTGTGATTGTTGTTTGCTTTGCTGCTTTTCCCATCCCCGAGGGATGAAGCTCCTACCATGTTTTGATATTTCTGAAGCTAATCTTCCCTTTTTGTGGGAACTCCTCTTCAGCTCTCCAAGTACCCCCTTCTCAACAACCTTGAGCGCCAGTCCTCCGTCCCCAAGGTCTACGTGATCCTCGGCCTGGTTGGTATCTACACCTTCCTCGTCTTCTTCAACATTGCCGGTGAATTCCTCGTCAACCTCGCCGGTTTTGTCATCCCTGGCTACTACTCCCTCAACGCCCTCTTCACCGCCGGTAAGGCCGACGACACGCAGGTATGTTTTGCAATTCTGATCTTTCTACACCAATAGTCGACAATGATGCTAACCCGACAATCTTCTGCAGTGGTTGACGGTATGTCCCCGTGATCGCATTCTCTTATCGCGCTTCAGGCGGCATGGGTCCCGAGATGGAGATACTCTCCATCCCGACCATCCGACCTTGGAGCACGTGACGTCTGTTCGTCAGCAGCAACTAACATGTGATTGTGCCATAGTACTGGGTTGTTTATGCCTTCTTCACCGTCCTTGAGAGCGCCGTCAGCGCTCCCTACTGGTTCCGTACGTATCCGTTGCTCTTCTTCGGGGGTGGTGGTCATTGATGAAGTAACGAAACGACTAATGTGCGCGAATTACAGCCTTCTACTACATCTTCAAGTTCGCCCTTGTCCTCTGGATGGCTCTGCCCCAGACCAAGTATGTCACCCTGTTCAACCCGCCCATTGTTGTTTAGGGGTTGCCTAAGCCGACTCTGACTGACCCTTTCTTCTAGCGGTGCTCAAATCGTCTTCCACTCTTTCATCCAGCCCGTGCTCGGTCGCTTCTTCCAGGGTGGTTCCACCTCTGCGAACCTCCGCGCCCAGGCCGACGCTGCCACCAAGGCGCAGTAAATAGACTTTACTTAGAAAGTTGAGCAGCTGTGAGGCCGATCTGCAGTCTCCATAGACTGTAGATCAGACCCCAGGGCTCTCGACAGGTGGAGGTCGAAAAAAACCCCGAACCAGCCGGCGGAGTGTTGGATATGACGTCTTCTTTGATATGTTTGGACGATTCATGTTCTTTTGAACTGGATTGAATAAAGATTGAAAAGAGGGAAGGTAATCACCTGGAGTTCTTGGGACTCCTGGTGGAGAAAACGGAGAGTCTGGGCTGGGCCAATCCTTGTCATGTTACTCTTGTTTTGTCATGAATTGCTTGGGCAGTAGAACGTTTTATGGATGTGATTGATGGATGATGCATGATGGAGGGGGCGGGAAACGCTACGGGCGGGACTAATTGATAGATCGAGTCCCGTGCCGTAGTGGATGATTTAGCTAGGTATATTGGATGCATAATGTCTCTCGGTAATTTGAGCACTGTTGATTGCGTCTTTGATTGGCTTCCTTCTCCGAGTATGACACATTTGCCCTGAAACGTCGAGAGCCAAGACAAGACAAGTCATAAGGGGACTAACATCATCCTAAAGTCGTATCGTATAGTACAGTACATCCACAAGATTTAGATATGTTGGCCCACCGCGAGACGAAAGTCATGCTTCACTTTCGCCCATGACCAAAACCCTTGGGGTGCCGGACACCGCCAGGGAGAGAAAATGAATAGATAGATAGAAAGCAATATGATGAAAATGCCCTGGGTATCTGTAGCCCAGCCAATGCAGATGCAAATGCAAGCAGACAAGACCGCTGAGGGTGGGACCCCCCTTCCGCCTTCCTCTTAATACAGCCCAAACCTATTCTGCCACCCATCTGTGCGCGGGTTGAGGACAATGCGATAAGGGAAGGGGTTGGAGTCGCTGGTCGTGATGGGTGGGATATGATCCTTATCGCGATTGACCACGGCGAGGATCTTGAGTGCAGCCTTCTGGAGCATATTCTCCATTGCTTTGCGGACCTTAGCCCGTTCTAAAAATTGAAATGGTGGTCAGTCATAGGAGTCGCCATTAACCGGCCTCGTTTTTGCAACAATTCGACAGGATGGGTATGACATTGGGGCGGGGTAGGGGAAGAGCCGAGGAAGGAAAATGCCAGATGTCGGAGGGGAAATGTCCACCGGCGTGAAGTCTATATATGCCATACATACCAGATTCAGTCCGTGGCGTGGCGATAGTCACGTCCAGATTCCAGACCTCCCAGCAGACTTCCTCCTCACCTTTGCCCGCTAGGCCGCCAAACCAGATGCCGGAGCGTCGGCGTCGCTTCTCGTAGAATTCCACTGCGATGCGGCCGCGGACGCCGCCCCCGGCACTGCCACTACCACCACCGCCGCCGCTGGTTGCCGAGTGTTGGCGGACGAGGGAGCTGATGCGCGAGTCGATGAGAGTTTCGAGGTCGACGTCGTTGATGGCGGGGAGAGTGAAGTCTAGAACGTCAAAGGTGGTGGGTCGGATGGAGGGGAAGTATCGGTGGAAGAAGATCAGGTTGAGGATACCTAAGGAATTTTGAGGGAAAGTGTTGGTTAATTGAAGATTAAATGGAAAGGTTTCTCTGATGTGTTTAGGAGAATTGGACAACGGGGAACTGACCCTTTAAGACGTCTCGAACGGTGGTGGTGTCGGCAAAGATTTCAAGGAAGTACTCCGGAGGCGTTTTGCGGGGCTCCATCTTCCCTAGAAACTCGTTCCGGGGCCCGGAAATGGCGGGCGCGGGGAGGGTGTTGTGCTCGTCGGGTTGGATAATACCGTTCAGACTATCGCTTCTCCGAATACCGAGGGCGAAGTTCTATATTTCTCCGCGCTGTGCAGTGCAAGGTGGAGAGTATGCGGTGTGTTTGAAGGAGGGGGATGGGGATGATGATTGAAACCCGGGGTTGTAAGGGCCGCTGGAGGGCGATGACGCTGTCGTTGGGGATCGGGGGTTGGATTGGAGGGGGGGCAATTGTCTTATGATCGCCGGGAAGTCTCACATGGAGCAAGGTTCATGAGGGGTGCATGTTCTGCCAGTAGCAAGATATACTGAGTTTGAATATGTATGAAAAGGTCATGGAGGATGTAGGGGGAAGATTGGGAGGAGGTGTAGTAATAGAGAGAGAGAGAGAGAGAGAGAGAGTGGGTGCATTGAAAGAGTGGAGGGGAAGCAGGAGGAGGAGATAATGGGAAAGTCGGTTCCAGTCAGTCATCCTTGGTATGTAAAATCATTGTAATCGGCATAATTAATCAATCTTACCCCACGCTGGCTGATTCTCTACTCTCCTTCCCTGAACATCACCTCTCTCCTGATTTAATTGTTTCTTTGTGTTCTCTTCTATTATGAGTCAAGTCTACCTTACATGAAGCATTTGTAGACCATGCTATACAAGGACTGCGATTGATGCGCCGTATCTTTGGAGGTTATGTATGACAATTCAAGGTTGTCTTTCAGGTACGGTACAGGTCAGGTCAGCCTGACAGCCCAGGCACCAGTTTTCAGGCCGGATAAGGATCCAGCAGCAGCAGCAGCAGCAGCGATGATGCAACCTTTTGAATGGACAGGTAAGTAGATTGAATCGAGATTAGTACTCATACATTACATGCTCTTTATAGTACACAGTAAGTTGCCAATAGGTTAGTCAATTATTCAAAAATACTAGACCCATCTCAGTGAAGATCACACACAACTCTGAAGCTGGACACAAGCTGTTATCATACGCCGAACTGGTTTAGCCGAGGCCGGATTGTCCTCCCTCTCTCTACTCGCCGACCGTGTGCCAGCTCTCCCTCCCATTCCCCCCCCCCGGTTGCTTTCCTTTTCACGCCTCTTACCATCCTGATCCTTCATTTTTAAATTCTTTCCTGTCAAAACACCCTCTGCTCTCTTCTCTTCTACTCCTGCTTCTTACATAGGATGATCTGATCTTCTCCCACTTCCCCCAACAATCTCCTGCTGACGCCCCCGATCATCGCTCCACTCCACCATGATCAGTGCCACTAAGCGCTGGTTCCAGCGCAATCGCAAGGGCCTTGCAATCGGAGCCGGCGTTATCGGCGCGGGCTATCTTGCCGGTCAATATGTACTGGGCAAGATCTCGGAAGCAAGCGAGCGTATGGGAAGTGATCGTATTGCTCGAGAGAAGTATGTGATCTCTTCGCTGATGAAAGAGCTCGGGCCGTGTTGCGATGTGCTCGTGTGCTCCGAAGTGGTCGCTGACGAGCCCTACCCCGATCTAGTCTACGGAGACGCTTCGAACAGAACCAAACCGACTGTACCTACACTATCCTAGCACTCTTACCCACTGCAGCGGAGGATATACTGGAGGCATTGCCGGTCGAGGAGTTGACGAAAGAGCTACAAAAGAAGCGCGCGGAGCGGTTAGCTCGCCTCGGCACGGCGGAGGGAACAAGCTCTGATCTAAGCTCAATCTCGCCGAGTATCACAGACGATGATCGCCGAAGCCTCTCCAGCTTCCAGAGCGATGGCTTTGTCCGCGCAAGTCAGCTAGGAGAATCCACACTTGAGGTTGCCGCACCCTCGCCGTCGCCAAAGCGCAACAAGACTCAGTTGTGGAATGAGGTTAAGATCACCTGTAAGTTGCTTTCGGCTGTGCTTTGGCCAATTTCGGGAGCTGACGGTTTCATGGCAGCTATCACTAGGTCCTTTACGCTGATCTACACCCTATCCTTACTGACTATCTTCACTCGTATTCAACTTAACCTTCTGGGTCGTCGAAATTACCTGTCTAGCGTGATTTCTATGGCCACACCCCCAGCGGATGCATCGACTATCAGACTTGAAGATCATGATGATGATGACCTTACACAGACTCTGGGTAATGACTTCGAAACCAACCGGCGCTATCTGGCCTTCAGTTGGTGGCTTCTTCACCGTGGCTGGAAGCAATTGATGGAGGAGGTGCAATCAGCTGTGACGGAAGTATTCGGGTCGTGCAACCCCAGAGAGGATATTTCGCGCGGCAAGCTGGCAGAATTGACCCTGCAAGTCCGAAGGAAAGTGGAGGGGGATACCGAGGAAGACAGAAAGTAGGTTTGACTCTTGTCATATGTCTGCTGGCATGTCATTGACCATTTAGACACCGGAAGTGGCTATCCTATCTGCTTCCCCCGAGAGAGGAGGAGGATCATCTACTGGAAGAGTCTGGTGTTCTAGGAGTGACGGAACCCTCGACCCCTCAAACCACTGCGACACTACGGCACCTGTTGGACGAGACAGCTGACCTCATTGACTCTCCGACATTTACCCGCGTTGTCTTGCTTCTCAACAACGAGTGCTTCGAAACCTTGATCCAGCAATGCGCAGCCGAAGCTTTTAAAGCATCGCACACGCCTGCCCCTCAGTCATTCACTTCCGTTGCTACGGTCGTCCCTGGGGCAGTCAGCTCAGAACCGAAGACTAAGCTGGCAAATGTGCTGGCCGTATTGGCTCGACAAGCCCATGTGATCGGCAACGGCACTGTGCCTCCCAACTTGTACCTTAATGCCATGGAACAAGGAGTTCGGGAGCTGGAAGCTTTTGCGGCCGTCGTGTACAGCTCCAACTTCGATGCTGAGCTGCTCGAGTCTGATGCGAAAACGCAGTCGATGAGATTGCCGGCAGAAGCAAGCTCTGACACGCCCTCTTCCCCTGGCCCCGTCATGGTTGACACGGAGGACATTGAGGACCAGGCTCTTCAATCGATGTCGAGTCTGACAGTTGCAGATGACTCAACCTTCGAGACGGCGTGGGGCAAGGCTGTAGAGGATCAACCCTCAACAGGACTAACTGCATGAATTGGAGAGATTCCCGCATTCTACGAAGATGTTGCTCCCTGAATGAACATTTAACGACCTTCCTCTACTATATATACTCGCAAGACCGGCGATTAAGCAAATACCACGAATGTATCTATTCTCCTTGACATGTCACTAGAACCGGAGATGACTAGCGGATAGAGGGCGGAATAACCCGGCGCTGAAATTGGGCAAATGTACGATATCGGGAAACCAATCATAGCCTGATCACCTCCTCAAACTGAAAGAAATTTCGATCGTCGCAACCTACTTCCATGCCTAGGAGGGGTCACGTCTGGAATCCATTCATACATACGTAGTAGATTTCATAAAATGCGGGGAGAAGCGAGTGGACCCGCCTGGCAGCTGCCTTAGTCATCCGAGTATGGGGTAACTAACTAACTAATCCACTTCAATACTAGTCAATTCTTTCTACTTCTAAAGCTGAACTCGGCCACAACTTACCGGACAGACTGATAGACTGCTCTAGAGCCATTGTACTTGCCGAGGGTGAGAGTTGAGCTGAAGGCTTTTATCTGGGGTTGGTATCTATGAAGAAAACGCCATATCCGGAAACATGTCCTGTAGAATGCTCGCCGGAATTGACAAGGTTATCTCCCGCAGCAGTCTTCTGTATGTTAAGCTCATATAGTAGATGCCTGATAATGTATATTCCAGCGATTTTAGCATAAAGTCGACCGTCAGGCCGCAAGTCCAATTCTTCAGCCGAGCTTCAAGTCGCAGGTCGGTACTGAGTGCCGGCTTAGGTGACTGGCTGGATTGGCTGGCACTGTCGGCTCTCATTGCATCTTTGATACCTAGTGAGCTGTAGCTGAGTAGTTGGGTGTTAACACAGCTGAGCTGACTTTTTCCTTCCCCTCTTCTCCTCTGCTTACTCTCCACAAATAGTCTCTGAAATCCCCTAATTCGGCGCTTCTCTGTTCCTCCCTGTTGATGCCCATGAGACTCGATTGTACTCATCTTTACCGAGTGAATTACGCACACAGACCGTCACTCCCAGAGTCCTGACCACCTTACTTCATCAGTCTTGAAAAGAAAGCAAGCACTACTGCAGATTGATTCATAAGCCCAGTGTCTACTCAAATTATCCTTAGGACCCGGTCTCTGAAGCTTGTACTCAAAGTGATATCAAGCACAATGGGTCGCGATCCAGGTATGTCCTCCCATACGGTTCATGCGCAGCACGATCCAGTGCTTTAACACCTTTATGTGCAACGTAGGGTCACCGTCCCCTTATTTCACCGAGATGAAGACCGAGGAGCAGATCCAGACGTCCGCCGCGGGCCTGCCCCCGCTGACTTCCACGACCGAGCGCAAATTGATGGCCAAGATTGACTGGCACGTCGTCCCATGCCTGTGCATAATGTATTTGCTGGCTTTCTTGGATCGGTATGTGTCCCTACGTCCCGGAAGATAGGTCCGTGATAGGTTCACTGACGGTGGACGGCTACAGGGTGAACATCAGTAACGCTGCGGTGCTCGGACTGCAGAAGGATCTCAACATTGTCACCGGTACCAAGTACAACACTGCATTGACCATCTTCTTCGTGCCATATGTGCTCTTCGAGATCCCGTCCAACCTGCTACTCAAGAAGCTGAAGCCACATGTGTGGTGTGAGTATCTGGAACTGTGCATAGTTGTGGTGTGGACATTGGCTGATATGTCGTCGATGCTCATAGTGTCCCTGTGCATGTTCGGTTTCGGCCTCGTCATGATTTGTCAAGGATTGGTGACTAGCTGGGGTGGATTGGTAACCACGCGCTGGTTCCTGGGTACAATTGCTCTCATGTTCGTTGTTGGGATGCAATTTAGGCTGATACGCAGGTCTTAGGGATGTTCGAAACGGGCATGTTCCCAGGGTGTAAGTGCTGTCTTTGTCGCTGTGCGTATTTGGCCACCGGACTAATCTGCAACTTACGTGCAAGGCTTCTATTTGCTCGGTACGTGGTATAAGCGAAGCGAAGCACAAAAGCGTTTCAGTTTCTTCTTCGGCTCCACCACCCTGGCGGGTGCCTTTGGTGGCCTCTTAGCTAGCGGTCTCGGAAAGATGGCTGGCCTGCGAGGCTACGGCGGCTGGCGATGGGTTTTCATCATCGAAGGCGTTCTCACGTGCGTGATTTCCTTCGTATGGTACTTCATCATTCCTGGGTTCCCAGAGGATGTCAAATGGATCAATGATGAGGAGCGAAGGTACATCCAGGCAAAACTGGCTCAGGATGTGGGCAAGGCCGGACACAATGCCCATTTCGGTTTCCGAGACGTGCTGGATGTGTTCAAGGACTGTAAGTACCGCGTTTATTAGTTCGGAAGGACGCTGACTAGGAGATGTAGACAAAATCTTTATTGGCGGGTTTATGTACTTTGGTCAGGTCGTCTCGGCCTATGGTATGTAGTATTGAGCTAGCCCCGGCAAAGCCTGTCACATGTTTGAAAGGACTTCGCTAACAGTTCCAGGGTATGCCTACTTTGCACCGTCTATCATCAAGACCTATGGATACGGAGGTATAGTGACCAGCCTTGGCTGACGGATTGACACCGTGCATTAACGTATGATGCAGCCATCCAAACGCAGCTGTACTCGATCCCACCATGGGCGGCCGCTTTCGTCTTCTCAATGATCATTGCGATTCTATCCGATAAATTCAAGCACCGGTTTGCGTTCACCTTGGTTCCTATGTTGGTCACCATGGCGGGATACGGGATCCTCTTGAATGTCCACGGTGTAGCTCATAGGAACGTTCAGTATGGCGCTCTTTTCATGGTCACCTGTGGCACCTACAGCGCAATGCCCGTGGTTGTCTGCTGGTATGCTATGAACCTAGGCGGCCATCGGCGACGCAGTGTAGGAACAGCATGGCAGATAGGGTTTGGGAACAGTAAGTAGCACAAAATTCAAGTGGGCCAGGGCAACCAGAGGATCTTTCATGCAGCTGACAGCAATCTCTAGTTGGTGGGTTCATTTCGACCTATGCCTTTCTAGCGAAAGATGCACCTCTCTACCGCAATGGATACATCATCAGTTTGTCCTTCCAGTGCTTCTCGGCCGCCTGCTGCATTATCTACTTCGCAGCGATCTGGGCTGCAAACAAGCGACGTGACCGCATTGTGGCCAGTAACACCCCGTCGACACTGCTCGACGACGAGGAAGAAATCAAAGGTGATCTGGCAGTGACGTACCGATACGCGTACTAGAAAAGATGTTATTAACAAGCGGGAACTGCTTGTTGCAATCTGGGATAGACATCTATCTGGTTATTTCCACCGACATCCACGAAGTAGACAGATAGGGCTAGGGCTTTTCATTGACTATGGGTGTAGTGGAGAGCGGTGAGGCGGAGGATATGGTCTTGCATGCAGCAGTATTGACCGAGCACAGCGTGGTCCTACTGATTATGAACCTTGAAGCATAATGAAGCATGAGTAATGAGAACCTCAATCACACACAGTCGTACTCATACAATCGTATTTCGAGTGAATCTGTACTCTGTCGGCCTAACGAGCCAACGAGAAGCCCCCCGGTCAAAGGATGCTGGGATATAGTCTACACCGGGCGGGAGTGTTGATGTCACGAGTGAAACCCAATGTGGTTCCCTGCGGTCTCGGTAAAGCAAAGGGTGGCCAGTGCGTAGCCAATCACAACCATCAGAGCACTAGCGAGCCCTTAGCGGCATTGGATGCTGAGTCAGCCACGGCGCACACAAGAAGCTCAACCGCGGCCGTTCTCCGTCTTTCTTCCAACCATCTCTTTCATCCTCGCAGAAGTGTGAGTATACTACTCCGACCCCCTATTGTTCGGGTTAGACAACAACTAACAGCCATCTTCTAGTCCTATCTACGAAGATGAGAGCCAAGTGGAGAAAGAAGCGCGTCCGTCGCCTTAAGCGCAAGCGCAGAAAGATGCGTGCTCGCAGGTGAGTTCAATTTGATAGCCATCATAGTCCAATAGTCAAAGCAATGGCTGACATATGTAACCGCAGCAAATAAATTACTCGCCCCCTCCATCTCAGCTCTGCATGTGAAGACTCAGGTTGAACGCTGAACACGACAATTGAAAACTAAGAATTGCAACGACGTCACGATGATGATTTTAAACCTTTTATGATCGTTCAACGTGGTTCCCTTCTCTCCACCATCTCGGATCAAGGGCCCTGTCCTGGTTTTATCTACCACTCGAATTCGGAATCCGCCGTTCAACAAATGGAACTTCGAAAATTCCGTTCCAATCCATCGGGTTCGAAAACGTCTTCGATTTCTCACGACGGCTTCTCTCGCGCTATTGTGGCCGGGCAGGGGAAGGGATGCGTTCTCTGCGGCGCGTCTCATCCATCCTTCGAGATTGGCAAATGTGTTTGGTAGGGTTGGAAAGGGATCGGTTTTGTTGATTCTGTACTTCTTATCATCATACGCCGATGTCTTTGAGCTTCTATGGGGAACTGGTCAATATCTCATGTCTCGAGATTTCACTGGTAAACAAAAAAATCAAGGGAATTTCGGGTCGTGGAGAGGTTTCTTTGAGAATTTATTCCAATCACAAAAAGTTCAAACGCAATCTCTTTTGCTACTTCAACGTAAAACCAAGAAATAAAGTAAAGTAGAAAATCGAAGTCGGTGCGATAGTGTACCGATTGTCGCACTCTGTCGACCTTCTTCAGAATTGACCATCCGACGCTGCTGGCCAGACAAATGGTGATAGACTAATTAATCATTTGTGTGTCCCCGTGATCTGCACCGCAATCGCGCCCTGCTGAGATAGTAGTCTCTCTCCGCCTTCCATTTCGGGACCAACTGACCGCCTTCAACTTTTTTCCTGGGACTTTTTCCTCCTCCGGTATATCAAAATCCACGCCGGTCGACGAGACACGGAAGTCCGCTCATTTTCGCCCTGCCCCAGACTGATTGATACCCTTTGGACATCTTTTGGCACAATGGTCTCCGACAAGGTCGAAAAGAAGCGCAAGCGCGCCTCTGATCGCCACGAGCGGCCTAGCAAGAAGCCCGCGCTGGAAATCCAAGATCTGCCCCCTCTAGCTTCGAGCGTGGTGGAGGATGATAGCGAACTCGCTCCGGTCATTGGTAAACGCCTATATATTCCAAAAAAGCTCGACTCTTCTCAGGAAGCAATAAATTAGACTATACATGCTAATCCACACATGGCGGCAACAAAATAGTGACCACCCCCGGCCTTAACGCCCCCCGCAATCTCCGGCTCAAACCCTACCTGAAAACCCGCAGCAAGACTTCCTCCGCTTCGACGCGCAACAAGGGGATCGTCTCGTCGGAGCTGCTCCTCCAGTCGTCCGAACACCCCAAGCTGGACTTTGTGGGTCGCGAGGCCGAGGAGGATGCCGACTCCCAGCTGAAGCACTACGTCGCCGTGGTCGATCCTGAGAATAAGACATGGCAGTTCGTCGAGGTGCGGAAGATGACGCTGCGCGGTGCGGTGCGGAAGCTGCGCTCCATTGATGAAGAGGAGGAGGAGGAGAGCGAGGAGGAAGAGCTGGTGAGTTCTAATACTTTTTTTTGGTTTATGCCTATGCCAGTTTGATTTGTGCGCTGGTTGGGTGATCATGTCTCTGCAGACGGAGACACCACCTTTTTTTCCCTTGGGCGAAAAAAAAAAATAAACTAACGATGAATGTCTTACATCTCCAGCAAACCCTCCGCGCCCAACGCACCGAACTTACCAACACCTTCGGAACCAAACAATCCCGCAAAGCGGCGCAATCCCTGGCCGAGAACGCGCAACTCTCCAACCTGCCCTCGGGGGCGGCCTCGGCCGCAGAATCCGCCATCCTGTCCTCGATGCCAACGGAGGGGGTCAGCGACATCGCCGCCAAGCAGGCGCTGGTGCAGGCGCAGGTGCAGGCCAACAAGCCGATCCCGACGCCGCACCTGGACGCCTCGCACCCGGCCGAGGTATACCCGCTCGCGGAGCTGGTGCCCAACGGCGAGTCGACGCTGCGGCAGCTGCCGGGCGTGCAGGATTGGATTGCGACGGCGAACGCGGGCGAGCCGGTGGTCACGACGTCGCGGTACGTCTCGCGGCGCGTCGACGCCGTCATCCAGTCCGGCAACACCACCCACCTCCAGATCCTACGCTTCATCCTGCTGCTCCTCGAGCTCAACCGCCACCTCAAGCGCGACCCCAAGGGCGCCGGCCCCGGCAGCAAACGCCTCCCGCCGCGCGACGAGCTCCGCACCATCCTCGCCGGCGGCACCTCCCCTTCCACTACAAGTACCAGTACATCGGAATCCCTCGCCGACCCCATCATCGATGCCGTCCGCCGCCGCTTCGCTCCCGGCGCCGGCGGCTCCCTCTCCCGCAACGACGTCACCCTCCTCCACACCACCATCTGCGCCCTCTCGCTGCACATCCCGCCCCAGCCCGCCAAGGACGGCGGCAGCAGCTCCCAGGGCGGCAACGCCCCCAACGAGCTTGCCACCGACCCCGCCGACCTGCGCGACGACCTCCACCTCGAGAGCCCCGTCATCCTGCAGTACTTCCGCGAGCTGGGCTGCCGCGTCGACAAGCCCCGCGAGTCCGAGTTCGCCAAGTGGGGCATCAAGGGCGGCAAGGCCGAGGCCGCTGCCCGCCGCGTGGCGCGCCTGCGCATTCCCGTGGAGTTTCCTAAGGTGAGCCGCGGGGGTGGCAAGAGACGCTAGTGAATCCAAGGCAAAAATGGAGACGAACCAGTGTGTAAGATTTGAAAGAAGGGTGGTGGTGATTAGGATAGTATGACGCTGTGTGGATGTGGAAAGAGTATGGAATAGGGGCGTGTGGACGTGGAAATACTCCTCCGTCTCCAGATAACCATAGCTTGTCAAATAACTGTTGTTGTCCTCAAACCAAAAAAAAAGCATTTGGTCTTTTTTTTTTTTTTTTTTCCCTCGGGCTTATTTCCAACTGGCGTTAGGACATATTATGTCTTGTGATGTGTATATTTGTATTTCAATTCGTTTGTATAGGTAGTAGTTAATCGGTAGCGAAGAGAAGATGAAGATTTGAGTATGTTATCATAGGGGATGCATTTCCATTCATCGCTGCTTATTCGTTTGTGTAATGGGGGGATACACGGTATATTTACCACAGGGGTGGGGGATGTATATATACTCCGGGTCGTATCGGTCACTCACTCAACGAGAAGGATGCCTTCGCCCCTGTTCAACCCTGTCCCACCTATCTTCGTGCGGAGGAAAGTCCTCAAATTTCATAGAATCTGCATGCTTAATACTGCTACAAGGACGGACTCACGAATCAATGGAGGACGAAAACAGATGACAATCGTTCTTAAGGATCGAGAACTTTAAGCGGTCGCCGCTCGACGGGACTAAATTCCTTGGTATCCGGCTGTCACAAATACTTGGAATTCCCAGAGGCTTCTTGAGACTTAACCAAAACCCGCGATTATATGACTGACCTATTGGATTGGTTTAGGAGGGGTAGAAGAAGATATAATTGATGCTAGGAGATCCTCCAGCATTATATGAGGTGATGGCATTGTTAATAAAAAGGATTGGACGTGGAACAAATGATTACAGCATACATCCACAGGACTATGTTTCTCTGAAACATTCGGGGGTTCTCAAGACATGGATCTAGGCGGCGACGCCAACAGGAATGCCTGAGGCCACGGCGGCGGCAGGACGGATCCCGGCGGCGGCGGTCTGCATCCGGGCCGAGGCCTGCGCAAGCAGCGCCTCAGCTGCCGCGTCCTGGAACTCCCGGGTGACGGCGGTCTCCAAGTCTTCACCCTCCTGCAGACCCAACTGGGCGTCCTCCCAGATAGGCTGGTTCGCAGCCTCGGCTCCTTCGACGCCGACGCCGACGAAACCGCCCTGAGCCTTCCAGTGGCTAGCGCGCTTGATGCCCAAATCGTTCCAGACGGTTTGGAGCGCCTGAACCAGGTGGTCGCGGTGTTCCTTCACGTGGCCCGGAGTGGGGGTGATGCGGAGTCGCTCTTCACCCCGCGGGACGGTGGGGTAGTTGATGGCTTGGACGTAAATGCCATGTTCCTCCAGAAGCTTGTCCGAGGCTTGCTTGGCGACCTCGGCGTCGCCGACTAGGAGGGGGATGATGTGGGACGGGTTCGGGATCACGGGAATGTCCAACTCCTTCAGGGATTCCTTGACGGCCCGGGTGTGCAACTGCTGCAAGACGCGGTCGCGTTTGTACTCGGCCTGGTACTGGATGGCAGTGTCCGCTCCGGCCATGGTGGCAGGAGGCAGGGAGGTGGTGAAGATGAATCCCGGGGCCAGAGAACGGATGGTGTCCACCATGGCGGCGGAACCAGCAATGTATCCACCGACACAGCCGTACGCCTTACCCAGGGTACCGGTGATGATATCAATGCGGTCCATCACGGTGCCCTTGGTGCTGCGTGGGTTGGCGGTGTCCTGCGAGGCGTAAACGTCATAGTCGAGATGCTCCGCGACACCCGCACCGTGGGGGCCGTACATGCCAACGGCGTGCACCTCATCCAAGAAAGTGATCGCCCCGTACTTGTCGGCCAAGTCGCAGATCTTCTCGATGGGGGCAATCGAACCGCACATGCTGTATACAGACTCGAAAGCGATGATCTTGGGGACGTTCAGAGGCAAAGAGGCCAGCTTGGTCTCCAAGTCGACCAGATCATTGTGCTTGAACACCATCTTCTTGGCGCCGGAGTGGCGGATACCCTGGATCATGGAGGCGTGATTGAGGCTGTCGGAGAGAATGACACAGTCGGGCATTTTACTACCCAGAGTGGCCAAGGTAGCGTCGTTGGCAACGAAGCAGGAACTGAAGACCAGGGCGGCCTCCTTGTTGTGCAACTTGGCGAGAGTGCCCTCGAGGGCTACCGCATGTTGATTGTGTCCCGAAATGTTTCTCGTACCACCCGCACCAGCGCCGTAAGTATCCAGTGTTTGGTGCATGCTCTTCAGAACCTCCTGGTTGCGGCCCATACCGAGATAGTCGTTGGAGCACCACACGGTCACCTTCTCCTCCTGAGAGGCCGTGTGGGCACGGGGGAACTCCTTGGCCAGACGATTGATGTTGTTGAAGTAACGGTACGACTTGTCCTTGTGCTTCTTGTCCAGCTCCCCGTTATAGAAAGCGTTGTAGTCGAAGGGCGCAACCTTCGGGGCATCAGGGCGGGGACCGGTGACGGTTGCGCCGCTGGGGGCTTCGAAGCGGCCTTTGACACCGGGGAAAGCGGGGTCGACTATGAAGCAATGGAGTCAGTACAATGTGTCTGAAAATGGGAAGTGTACGAAGTACCTCTCTGAGAGTCCTTGTAGACATTGGGAGCAACGTCCGCGCCATTGCCCGAGGTCGAATGCAAGGCCCGCTTGGTGGGAACCGGGCGGAAGTACCTGGGATCCATGCCGGCGACACCGGAGGTGAAGCGCTTGGTGTTGGCCAAACGGGCGCTCTGGACGGCCAGAGCCTTGCTCATGACGGGGCAGCGACGGGCTAGAACCTGGAGGTTTGACATAGTGCCGCCTCCAGGGCTGATGCTGGGACGAGTGGCGGTGGACAGAGTGCGCAGAGTGGACGGGGAGGTGCGCTTGAGGAACGGGCACATGGCTCGAGACTGCTGGAGAAGCGACTCCATTGGGTGCGGTACGGCCAAAGGGCGAAGATCACTCTCAATTGGAAAGAAGGAGGAAAGATCCCCTTGTGGTGATAGTTGGGAGTGGGGAGGGAGGGGGGGGGGGGGGGGGGGTGGGGGGGGGGAAAAAGAAAAAAAAAAAAAAAAAAAAAACAAAAAAAAAAAAAAAAAAAAAAAAAAAAAAAAAAAAAAAAAAAAAAAAAAAAAAAAAAAAAAGAGAAAACAAAAGAAGAGATGTACGAGGAGAGGTGGAGTTGATAAGTTTTAAAGTAAGAGTGAGTCTTAAGTGGGAGGGAGTAGTCTAAGCCTGAGGGGGCAAAGAAGATTCGATCGGCTGGGCAAAGGACGGGATTTGCGGTGCTGGTCCGCTGAAGAGGGAAATCGGCCGCGACTTGGCGGCTTACTTAAGTGGGAACGCGCTCACTGGGCCGCGGCTGACGATTGTACGGCCACTGATTGGCTCCCGGGTCCGGTTCGGAGAGGGAGACTCGGAACCTTGAAGATGACTAAGAACTAATGCGTGGGTAACTAACTAACTACCTAGTACTCCGTACGGAGTATGTGTATCTAAATGGTCTCACGGCACGGTCACGGCACGGTCACGGGATTTACACTGTAAAAGGCCGGCTGGAACTCGGCTACTTTTCCGCCACGCCCGGCGCATTTTATTCCCTTCTTGGTCACTCACTGAATTAGCAGCCAGTTCAGGCCACTGCATTCATTCGTCCATTCAGTAAGCAAAGCAAACATCAAAAATCCCAATCTCCACAGTCAGAAGTACAAATAGTCATCGAAGGGGTAAATCCGAGTAGTCAGCGAAAAGAAGAAAACATAACAACAGTCACTCCCCCCCTAGTGACCTAACCCCACACGCACTCCCTCCACTCCACCCTCGGAACAACAACAGATCTATCATGCCATTGCCTCCCTCATCATCTTCGGTCTGACTTCTTTTTTTTCTGTAAAGTCCTTTCAACCATCCAATTCTTTTTTTTTTGGTCTCGCGTAATCTTGCCCGATTTCCCCTCCTCTGCTCATTATCTCCAGGGAATAACCACCCGGTGCAAATATTTTCATACACCACCAAATGCATCCTGTTAATACAATACATAGTTCGGACAGTAAAATCCGCAACTGGGGCGAAAGGAAACATAGAAAAACAAACAACAAAGTGAACCACCATCCGGTGTAAAAGTCCCCAATAAGTGTGTAAAGCTTCAAACAACATCACAGGTGAATAAGAAAAGAAAGGAAGGTAGTAGATATCCCAACGCCGTCATTCCATCTCATCGTGCAAGAGTCCTCGTAGGCTGGGTTAGCTGGGTCCGAGGCCCCCATCGCCGTCAATGAGACGCAGTCGCTCTTTCGTCGTCTTCGCCCGTTTCGACGTGCCCTTGCCAGTCCCGCGTCCACGTCCTCGCTTGGGAATGGGTGTGGCCGAGGGCGTCCCAATGTTATCCGCGGCGGACACCGGAGTCGCGGCGCCCGAGGGTTTGGCACTGGCATCGTCAAAGTTGCCCTCGCCTAGGAAAGCCCCCGTTAGTCAATGTTTAGAAAATGGGATCGGAGGACGCCTTACCTTCATGATACATATCATCCAGCGTGATATCTCTCTTTCTTTTCTGAGCCGCCTTCTTCCCACCTTTACTGGCACCAAACACCTCTCCACGGTCCATGGCTTCCTTTTCCTTCTGTTCGATAAGCTCGGCCTGCTCATCGTCCGCCAGCCACATAGCAATGTCCTTGGTCCGGCTTTCCCGATTGCGCGTGTTGAAGTCAACTCCACCAGCGGCACCACCCGTGATGACGACACGCTGCACCTCTTCCTTCTGCAACGCCCGCTTCCGAATCCGCTCCTCAATCGTGCCACGAGTGATGAGGCGGTAGACCGTGACTTGCCTCGTCTGACCCAGACGGTGAGCTCGGTCCATGGCCTGAGAATCAATGGTAGGGTTCCAGTCCGAATCGTAGAAGATGACCGTGTCGGCTGCCGTGAGGTTGATTCCCAGACCACCCGCACGCGTGGATAGAAGGAATACGAAAATTTCCGGACGCTGTTGGAAATCCGCCACAGTATCACGACGATCCTCCAGCTTGGTGCTTCCATCCAATCGACAATACTTGTAATTGCGGTAGGTCAGATACTCCTCCATCAAGTCGATCATACGTGTCATCTGGAAGTACAGTAGCACACGATGTCCACCGGCCTTGAGCTCGCGCAAGAGTTCGTCCAGCTTGGCCAGTTTACCGGAGTCCGTGACGAAGCGACGCATCGACGGTACCTCAATATGCGTGTATCGGCCCTTGGTGGAAAGTGGCTTGGGTAGCAGGGGCTGCAGCGAGTAGGGTGTGGGATCCAGCTTTCTTTCCACAATCTGCTGCTCCACCTGCTTCGAGGCAACGCCGTACAAAGCATGGCGCACGGAAACATTAAAGAAGCTGTCTCTGGCCTCATATATAGGGATCTGGCTCGAACTCGTGATGGTGATTGGAGGCGCCGACGCTGCGGGGGTGGCAGATGGCTCAATCAGAGAAAGACCCTCTCGCTCAAACGTAGACTGGGAAACGGTCATCAAATCCCGCATGTAGCCCTCAGCCGCAACCTCGCTCACTGCATGACGATCGTTGCGATCGACAACGTTGAACAATGTATGCGGAAGGGCTGAGGCGGCTGTCTTGTCATCTTCGTAAACAACCTTGAGCCGGGCCAGCCTGTTTGTTTGTCCACGGCGGCGGACAGCCCGTTCGAAGACACCGGAATGTGACTGCTCGTAGGCCTCACCCGGGGATGTATCTACAAATCGCAGGAAAGAGAATGCCCCGTTGTCCCGAGCACTCTGCTTGATATTATCAGGAGTGAAGACGTTCATCATGTGGTTAAGATACTTCCCACGAAAGCCGGCGTACGCATTGTCGGGTCCCGCAACATCGACGCGACCAGCAGATCCACAGAGCAGACGGGGCAACGGATACTCAATCAGGTTGCGAGTTGAGTAAGCCACATCGACATTCTGGCCTTCTCTGACAAAGGAGGCGGTTTCAGCGAAGTGCGCGACAGAGAATGGTGATTTCGTTTCCGCGCGCTCGAACAAATCCGGGTGGTTGCAGACCTTTCGGAACTGCATGACCAAATTCATCAGCGTTGTGCTGTCTGCTTCGTCTCCAACAGCGGCCTTCTCGATTAGGTCCATGATGCTGACCCGGTTGCGCAAGTTGGTATAGTAAGCGCGCTGGCGGTACGTAAGGTCGCAAAAGATGTCCTTCTCGACCTTATCCCCAAGTTCCTGCTGAACATGCTTCTTGACACGGCGAAGCATAAAAGGCTTTAGAATCATGTGGAGACGTCTCAGCTGGTCCTCGTTGAGTTTCGTGTTACTCTGAGCATGGGATTCAATGTCCTTGGAGAACCATTCGCTGAATTCATCGTGAGAGTCGAACAGCGTGGGCATGATAAAGTGCAGAAGGGCCCACAGCTCCTGCATGTTGTTCTGAATAGGAGTACCTGTCAGGAGAAGACGGTTACGGCAGGAGAAACCGAGCAAGTTCTTCCAACGGGAACTCTGAGAGGACTTGATGGCCTGGGCTTCATCAAGAATCATGTACTGCCACTTGACCTTTTGGAAGTACTGTGCATCCAGAACCACCAACTGATATGAGGTGACCAACACATGGAACTCAGACTCTTTTGTATATGTGATATGCTTTCGATCCCAGAACTTACGGAGGATCTTGCGGTCTTTGGCTGAGCCCCAGTACGGAAGAACCTTAATGTCCGGGACGAACTTGGTGATTTCCTGTTGCCAGTTGTGCAGCGTGGACGCTGGCGCAATAACCAAGAACGGACCCCAGATATTGTGGACTTCAGCGAGGTAAGCCATGACTGAGATAGACTGAATAGTCTTTCCTAGACCCATCTCGTCGGCCAAGATACCGTTGATACCTTGCTCGTACAGGTTGACAAGCCAGTTAAGACCCTTGAGCTGGTACTCCTTCAGCTTAGCGGTAAGCATGTTGGGCTGAGAGATCTCGATATCACCCAAGCTGGTAGGGTTCTGGAAGTTCAGTTCACCCTCATCCAACGCATCCATCTGGTTCTGGTCGTTGTTGAAGGCACGGGCTCGATCTTGAGCCTGTTGAACGGCATTTTGAGCGTTGGCCATGGCCGCCTGCCGCAAGGCCGTCTCATCCTCGGCGTCAAAGTCAAGATCTTCGAAGTTGGTGACCTTGGCACTAAGGTCGGCGACACTGGGAGGCATATCCACCGTGTGGTCTTGAGGTTTCCCAGGCTGGACAGTCTGGTCGGTTCCATCCACGGCCGTGTCCCCGGACTCGTCTCCTTCTGCACCTTTGATCTTGCGGCCAATGAAGTGGGAGTACAGCTCGGTCTGAGAGATAAGGAAGTTGAGCTTACGTCTCTGACGATTGGCTTCACGCTCCGCTTCCGCTTTCTTAGCAGACTCGATCTCCTGCTTTTCGGCAAGACGACGCAAATCACGTTCCTCACGTTCGTTGCGCTTCCAGAAGGACATCATTTCACGCATTGTCCGTTTGGCACGGGCCTGAGTGTCTTTCATGCTCTTGTTGGTGCGTTCCTGCCACTTGCGAGATTGCTTGCTAGCCAGTTGGGCTGTCTTGCGGAGGTTTTCCTGGCGCGTGCTGAGAGACAGACCTTTGATGCGGTAGACCTTGGGGATATCTTTACGAGCAATATCGCGCCAGATCTGCTCGTAAATCTGGTTGTAGCCCTTGGTCTCGAAGGCGGAGAGCGGCGTGGGCGTGGGCTCCTTGGATCGGTTGCCTTTGGTCTCCTTCTTGATGGACTCCTTACGGGGGTCTTCCTTGGGTGCCACAGGCAATGCCTCATCGTTCTCCATGGCTGCATACGCTGCTTCTGCCGCGTTTTTTTCAGCTTGTTTCTGTTCCTTGGACTTTTTGGGTCGCGTGACGGGGCCATTGCGTCCAGACTTGCGCCTCGAAGGAGAGTTCCGACCGATGTGGAAAGAACTGGTGGTGCCCCCTTCAAGGTTTGGCGCCAAGGGAGTCACTTCGCTAATCTCTTCGGGGGCAGTAACACCCTCCAGAGCTCTCTTGGTAGTCTTGATCTTGCGCTGGGCTCTCTCGGCTTCACGGAGGAACTTGGCCTTCTCGGCAGAATCCTGGGCCTCATTTGCTTTGAGCTCTGCCTCCAGTTTCTTCTGCATTTCCATGCGCACGGTATTCTCACGTCGCCGCTTCCGCTGCATGTCCTTCTTGCGTTCTTTTTCGTCCTGGATCTCTTTAGCTTGTACTTCAGCGATAACGGATGCCTCGTTCGTGAGTCGGAATCGATCCATTCCGGCATCGGCTTGCTTCTCCAGGGACTTTGCGAGATCTCCCAAGAACTGATGACGTCGTCGCTAAAAGTATGTTAGCCTGCAAAGTGATCACGAAGAACGCATATTTCACGAACCTTGCGCCGAATCAACTCCGTTTGCTCGGTGAGAAGGGCACGCTTCTTGCTTTTGGCCTTGTATTCCTGGTACTGTCTCTCATACCCAGGGCCTTCCACATCACTTTTATCTGCGTTTGCCATATCGACCATCGCGCGGTTGAGAGCTTCCACCTCCCCTTCTGTCAAGGGGTGGCGAGAGGCAGCGCCGCGGGACGACGAGGAGGCTTTCGTTGACTCAGAAAGGCCATTCGCGACGGTGGAAGACCGTGAGTCGGACACTCTGGGCTCGTGGTCGACGTTGCGACGGCGCTTCTCATTGGCGGGTTTCTTTTCTAATCGCGGTAAGGCCGGGCCAGAGGGCTCTCTGTCTTTGCTTTTGCTGCGAGCGGCCGGGATGGGCGTCGTCGACGGTGGGTTCAGATTGTCCGTCGCGCTTGGTGCTGGCGCGATGGGGGTTGCTGCGGGTTCAAGGGACGGCTGTTTCTTCGGTGGAGATTGTCGGGAAGGCGGGTTGCGCTCTTCTGCTGGTCCAGCCAAGATGCTCGCAAACGACATGGGATCTGGTTTCTGGAGGCCGCAAGAGAAGTGATCACGATCAGCTATTGTGGACCAAGGAACATGCAGGAGAGGGAAAAAAAAACAACAACGTACGGTTTCCTTGGGAGGAGAAGAATGCCTAGACTCTCGCATCATGGAAGATGGATACGGCGCGACTCCGTGGCCCCCCATGGAGTAAGGAGATTCAGACTCTTTTTTGGGAGAAATTTGCGAATGGCTGTCGGGCCGACCAGAGAGATGAGCGTGGGAGGGAGTAGAATGACCGTAGGGGGTCGCGCCGTTGCCCGACAAGACGGAATTAGAGTAGGGCCGAGGCAGGGGGAACTGCGGCGTTCCAGCCGAGGAATGGGCCTGATACTGTGATGATGTATCCGATGGATGAGATGAAGGAGCGGCGCCATTCAATGGAGGCAGCGTGGCCGGTAACGGAGACGGCGCATGGGAGAAGTGAGGGCTCCTGGCCATGCTGGGCTGAGGGGGGAAGGCCGGCGGCGTCTGCGGCGGGTGCTGTTGATATTGGTCATTGTTGTTGGGGTAGTAGGGACGGTTCTTGCTCGGAGAAGAATATGCAGAATAACGAGATTGCTGGGTAGGAGATTGAGGATTGTACGGCGGAGCTCCCGTCATGATTGCCGCGTTGTGCTGGAGGAGTAGACGCGGCGGCGAAGGTGACGGACAGCAGTGATGGGGAGGGGAGAGGATGAGGATATTTAGAACAAGGACCGTCGCGATGGATGAAGGCTGGCCATGCGCGAAGGGGATGGGGAGGGAGGTGGTCTTAGAGAGGTTTTAGCTCACGGAGATCTCGAGGTGAAGGGCGATCACGCGTCCGTCCGTTAGTTGTTCGCCGTCCAGCTAGAGTTCCCTGCGTGAAAAGGAATTAAATCTGAGTGGCCGACTTGGGGGCAGGAGTGGAGACAAGAGGACAGGGAAGCATGGAGATGGAGATGACGATGGGGGGAAAAGATGATGGGGGGGTGGTTGGGATGATGAAGACGACGATGATGATTGGAAAAGGGAAAAGAAGGATGAAGAAAATGAGCGGATAAAGGGAGGATTGATTGCCTTACCGGATGAACAGGAATCTATCAGCGGTTGCTGGAGGAGGAGGAGGAGGAGGAGGAGGGTTTCTTGGTGAGGGAGGGAGGGAAGACGAAGAGGAGCGAGCGAGCCAGCCAGCCAACAAACCCTCACGGCTCAACCGTTCCAGACAACAGAAGTCAACTGTGAATTCAACTGAATAGATGACCAGAACCGGTAGAGCGATGATGCTGGGGGTTGTGGTTCTGAGGGATAAAGACCAGCTGCAATGAGCCGTGAAGGAGACCCACGAGGGGCGAAATCTCGCCAGTTTGTTCCCGTGGTAGGAGGCTTGGTGGTGATAGCCGTCTAGATAGGAAGATAGAAGGACTGGTGGAGGAGGAGGTGGTGGTGGTGTGTATTGTATGTATGTATATGGAAGTGTATACTTAGAAAGGAGTGAACTCAGGCAGTGAATGAAGGGGGAGGAAGGAATTAATTTGGGATAGATGAGAGAAGGGGCTGTTGTGGTGGATGATTGCAACAATAGCACAATAGCCTTTCTCTGACTCTCTTTTTTCAGCTTCATTGAGCCAAAACCTCGTCTCCAGAGAGTGAAAAGTAAGTGAGTGACAGACCGCGGCGGGATGGGCTCGTTCCTGCCTATTCGGGTGGATTTCCCTTCCATACCCGCCGGCTGTGGCTGTTCGGGTGTCAGTCTGCGTCAGTCTGCGTATTTCACTTACCCCAAGTTACATAACTTACCACTAGTAACTATTTTCAACTTGTGGGGACGACAACTCAGGAACTACGCCCAGGCTCCGCATAACGCCGCTATATGCGATATATGATTGAGATTCAAATTGAAGTCAGTCTGACATGGAGCCATTAAGTTTCTATTAGAACTTGTCTTCCACGCATTCACCATGACAAGTACCACACATTCCAGGCGAGAAAGAAGAAACCTTTTGAGGTTGGGTCTCGCCATCCCGCTGCGGTCTCGCCGTGTCCATCGCTTCAAGTCATTGTAAGGAAAGGCTGTCCTGATACCAGTACGAAACCGCCCAGACGTTCACCTCAATGTTCTCTAGATGCAGTACATTCATTGTACACGAGGTTCGATCAGAGATGCATATGGAACATCAAACATGAACCTCCACCAATCTCAAAAGATTGAAATTTACCTATTGGCAGCAAGTCAGTCATCGGAATTTCGGGAGCAAACAGCGGCTGCATGACATTTTAACATTGCGCGCATACGGCGAGCTACGTAGAGAGAATATGTTTGGAGGGGGAGATTTAGCACGGAGAAAGGGGAACTTGTACAGTATAACACGGAACGTCTTCAAGAAGGCATTGACAAACAGACACAGCATAAATAGAGTCCTGATTCAACAGTTCGTTTGTCTGTATAGGTACTCCGTACCGAGCCAAGAATGATATCAAGTCAGGTGGCTGCCCAGGAGGTCCTCAATCCGTGGCAAGTCCAGGTATATAAGATGAGGGCTCGTAGTGATGTGCTTTCAAATAAAATAGCTACTAATTACTTACTCTATCTTCGTCCACAATCCACCAGCCCCCTGGCACTGACAGCCCTGACCTGACTAACTACTTAGGTTAGGTAAGCATGAACCGATTCCGGTGATGGGCCAATCCACGGCAATGCGATCTCCCCGCCCAAACTGTCCCGGAGGTGGACATTTTCCCAAGAGGGAGAGGGACAGGTGCATCCCACGATGTTCCTGGGGGGGTTTCCTTCAAAAAGCCGAAATCTTGAACATGAAACAAGAGCCAAGCAGCGTGGGGGAGAGATCCAACTTAGGCGAAGACCACGAACGGAGGGGCCGACGAGGGGAAGGGAAATCTGACCTAATGCAATATCGGGGTCTGATAATGCTCTCAGTCACAGTTGAGATGCGGAGACAAATCTGGATCAATTGCTGATGACGTCTACATGTTCCACCTTTTTTTATTTGAACTGGATCCATAATCCGGATCCATAATCCGAAAACAGCATGAAGTATGAAGTCAATGAAATATGCAACCACCGAGTATCGCCAGGGGAGGGTGAGAGAGAGAGAGAGAGAGAGAGAGAGACCGGAGGTAACAGACCGTACAGGAGAGACGCGGGAAATGATCTCCTCGTATCGCCCTCACCCTGGGATGAGCAAGACCACAAGGATCGGGATCCCAGGATGTACAACCTCCGCATCCGTGTTGCTCCTCTCGTCCGATTGTCTGGACTATGCTTCCTGTCAAGAACACACCACTAAGAATCACGACGTCACTTTGATCGCTTCGGCCGGGAGGAAATCACCCCACCTGCCATTCATTCATTCACTCACCTGTCCTACTTCCAGCCTGGAGTACGTATAACGAACCATCAGTAGAAAAGTGAATGGTGGCCTGGTTGTTTCTCAGGGTCTCATTGCCTGTTGTCTCTAGAATCCTATAAATCCTGTCCTCCCTCGCTCTTTCATTTCCCCTCTCTTTCCACGTTCACATCTACTTTCCCAGCATTCAAGCATCTAAGCATAGAATCTCTTTACCTCGTTATCTACTTCTACATCTCCATCTACATCTACACCCACAAACCCCTCACCCTTCCCCAATCACAACCTCCACCACCAACAACAACAACTAAAGAAAATGTCTTCCCCTCCCGAAATCCCCTCGACCCAATGGGCCCAGGTAGTCGAAGAGAAAGGCCACCCGCCAGTCTACAAGCAGATCCCCGTCGGCAAGCCGGGCCCGGACCAGATCCTGGTCAAGATCCGGTACACGGGGGTGTGCCACACGGACCTGCACGCGATGAAGGGGGACTGGCCGCTGCCGCTCAAGCAGCCGCTGGTGGGCGGGCACGAGGGGGCGGGGATCGTGGTGGCGCGCGGCGACCTGGTCACGGAGTTCGAGGTCGGCGACCACGCGGGCATCAAGTGGCTGAACGGGTCGTGCCTGGCCTGTGAGTTCTGCAAGCAGGCGGACGAGCCCCTGTGCCCGCACGCCGAGCTGTCCGGCTACACTGTCGACGGCACCTTCCAGCAGTACGCCCTGGCCAAGGCGAGCCACGCCTCCAAGCTGCCCAAGGAGGTGGCCCTGGACGCCGTCGCCCCGATCCTCTGCGCCGGCATCACCGTCTACAAGGGCCTGAAGGAGTCCGGTGTGCGGCCCGGCCAGACCGTCGCCATCGTCGGGGCCGGCGGCGGGCTTGGCTCGTTGGCGCTGCAGTACGCGAAGGCCATGGGACTGCGCACCATTGCCATCGACGGCGGAGAGGAGAAGAAGGAGATGTGTCAGAAGTTGGGCTCGGAGGTACGAAAGATAAAACTTGTCAAAAGAAAAACACAAAACTAACGAGCAATAAAAAAAAACCAGGCATACATCGACTTCACCACCTCCAGCGACATCGTCGCCGACGTCAAAGCCGCCACCCCGGAGGGTCTCGGCGCCCACGCCGTCATCCTCCTGGCCGTGGCCGAGAAGCCCTTCCAGCAGGCGACCGAGTACGTGCGCTCGCGCGGCAGCGTCGTCGCCATCGGCCTGCCCGGCAACGCCTTCCTCCGCGCCCCCGTCTTTAACACCGTCGTCCGCATGGTCAACATCAAGGGCAGCTACGTCGGCAACCGCCAGGATGGCGTTGAGGCCGTCGACTTCTTCGCCCGCGGACTGATCAACGCCCCCTTCAAGACGGCGCCCCTGAAGGATCTCCCCAAGATCTTCGAGTTGATGGGTATGTTGCCTCTCTTCCGCCTCTTTGCTTGCACTCGGCAGAATCAGGACTAACACACCGTTTCACCAAAACAGAACAAGGCAAGATCGCTGGCCGCTATGTCCTCGAAGTCCCCGAGTAAATGCATCCTTTTCTCGCTGGATCGGGATAGTATCCGTTTTACGAAGGTGACGACGATAAGACCCTCTATCTACCTTTGCTTTCTATTTGTCTCTTAATTTCTAAACCGTCGCCCCCTCCCCACCCTCATGCATTGCTAAACACATCGGGTGTCAAATGGGGTGTCCTACGATGTAATGTACCACAGCGTTTGCAAATCAAGTCTCCAATTAAATGATCCTTTGGCCCCTCGAACCGGCTTACAGTATCTTGGCCCTTACATCTTGTCTTATCAGTACCTTGTGCGATGATAAACGATTCAAGCACGGAGATTTTATTGAACTACTCCGAAATACAAGAGCCAGAACTCTCTCGAAAATAGGTTACAAGCCATTGAAAGAAAAGAAAGGGCTCAAGCAGTGTTACCCTTCTTCTTCTCCTTCTCTCCCTCAGCTTCCTGCGGGAGCCTCGTCTCGGACGGACTAGCTGACTCCCCCACGGTCGTCTGCGGACCTTTGTACACCTTTCGCGCATAGACCGCATAGTAAAGCAGCGCCCCAAGCCACAGGGTGCCATTGATGACAATGGTGTAATTCATATTCGCAGCTAAGTTTTCGCACAGGAACAGCAGTCAGCGCGGAATCCCGTCCACACCCAACCAAGACGGAAGGAATGAGTGACACAACTTACGGGTTGGGTCTGGTCCCTCGGTAGGAAACATGCTCAGCACGATAGCAAAAGCCAGATACACGATCGCGGTGATTGCAATGGGCTTGCTCAGCCGGCCCGTATAGAACTCTCCGGGGTAAAACCGATCTTGGCCCCAGACGAGCCGGGCCAGGATCGGGACCATCCAGGCGAGATCGTTGCCCGCCACGGCTAGAGAGAACAGCGCGCTGGCCGCAGCGTTGTCGATCAGACAGAGCAGACCAAGAATGATGGCGATCGCGACCACGGCGCAGACCATCCGGACGGGTTGGAACCGAATGCGTTTACTGACGTGGCGGAAGAAGGAGGAGAAAGGGAGGGCGCCGTCGCGAGAGAAGGCCCAGCTCTGACGGGAGGCTGCGACCACCTGATTTTAGGTTCCGCGATTAGGGGTCAGTGCAATGTGCTTCGGATCGTTTGTTCGGTACTGGAAGAGAGTGACTGAGCTCACAAGACTCAAGCCCATGAAGAACTGGACCACTGCTACCACGACCATGAAGCCGAGCGCGCCGCTTTTTCCGAGGGAGTCATAGTAGATCTGGAGGACGCAATCGCTCAATATCAGCCCGGCCTGAATTGACAGAATAAATAGGAACCCACCTGTGCCATGGGTTGTCCGAACTTGGAGTCAAGGACCGCCGTTAGATCGACGTCGATCACAGCTGCCATTATCGCCAGCGAGACAAATCCCAGCAGACCACACAGGCCCGCGGACCAGACAATCCCCAGTGGTACCGCCCGCGCAGCATGGGTGGCCTCCTCACTCATATGGACACAGGAGTCAAACGCCCCGATGGTCCAGATGGGCGACAACCACGCGATCATGAAGCTCCAGCCCTCGGGCCAAGTGGTGAGATTCTCAGCATGTCCGAAGACGTAGGCACCCGAGTTGATCTGCCCGCCGCGTACTGCCTTACCAATCGGCAATGCGAGAGCAGTGGCAAAGACCAGGCCCACGTTGAGGACGATGCAAACAGACTGGATTTTGGGCATCACGCGCGCAAAGAAGATGGCAATCAAGCCGTGCACGACGACGCATGCGACATACGTGCCGTAAAGGGCCGGACGGGAAGCAGTCCATTCGCCATCACGCGCAATGGAAACAATAGCCAACAGCATAGTAGCAAACCCATCTCACCCTCCGAGTCAGTCCGAGGCAGAAGCATCTCACGAGGAAGAGGGGCGCCGCTTACAATCTATAGAACAGACACCTCCAACGAGACCGATTGTATTGCTGTATCCAACGACAAAGCTGAGGGGATTCTTCCATTTCTCTCCGCTGAAATAATGGGTCCAGAAGTATAGACCACCGGCAGTGGGCATCGCAGACGCTAGATCGGCCTAAATGACACAGAGTTGTAAGCGTCCGACCAGAATAATAGGAACCAAAAGAGCTGAGAGAGGCAGACCATAGCCAATGCCACTATGAAGATGAACACACTCGCAGCAAACCAACCTAGAATTCCTGTCAGACCACTGCCTTGAGCACATCGCACCGAATAAACAAGAGATACCGTACCCTGCGATGCATTAGCCACCAGCCTCATCTAGTCAGGTACCAAGCAACCCCGTGTAAGCATAGCAAGAAGGGCGACGTACCCAGACCATACCCACAGGTCCAGCAGGAATGGAATACGATAAGGTCGATGCAATCGACGGCAAAAGTCCCATGATACTGAATGCAATTGCGAAGACCTGTACGGTCGAATAATGCCTGCGCAGCTCCTGCTTGTACCCCAGTGTCGCTGGTCTCGTCAGCATAGACACACGAGACAGACGATAAGCAAGCGTACCTAGAAGCTGCATATCGCCTTGTTCCAGCGAGGGCTCCTCGCCCACTTCTGGTGAAACCTTAGACATGAAGTCCATGTTCTGGAACTTCTCCGCCATGGTGACAGAATAATGGACATCAATCGAGCGAATGAATGGGCTATAGTTATTTGCGAATGGTCGACAGCGCAGAGCAGACGGACCGCTACTTATACCAACCAACCCTTGCCCATTGCATCACTGCATCACTGCATCAATTGGTTTTATTCTCCGATAAGCAACGGCCGGCAGGGACCATTCACACCGCAGCCCAGACTCTAATGGCGCATGCGACACGAACCGGCAAGGTCCAGCCATAGCCACCACCAAGCCGTTGTTATCATCACCTTATCGCGGGGGAGGCCGATCAAGGGGAGAAGTGGCCAATGTAAAAGCCTGAAGGTCTGATAAGCTCCCGTGTGGTGCGTCTGGAGCGTCGCTGAACGAGCAAAGTGGACGAGGGCGAAAGAGGAGGGAGAAGTGGAAGCAGAAGCACCAGAGACGAAATTAGGCTGGCATATCATACGGAGTACGGAAGTACATAACAATCAAATTCCCGTTCCCCCCCCCCCCGCTCTTCTTGTTATTATCCCATCTAATCAATCAACAACTACTACTGAGGCTAAATTAATGGTTCGAACATTCTTGAAATTCAACTAGTAGGAAGTGGTATCTAGATAGGAAGTAGTGGTAGTAGTAGTAGTAGTAGTGGTAGTAGAAGGTGACTGTTCCATCTACCAAGTCTCCGTCTCCGTCTCCCATCGCTTCGCGTACTAACAATAGCTGGAGGCCTCCCCGGGGGTAAGGGGTAACCAGATCCAGCCCAGATATGCCAATGGGAAAGTTAAAAGAAAAAGGGAGGGCAAACAAAATCAGATCGAAGAGGCACGAGCGAATAACAAACACACCGGTAGACTGCACCCAATATATGGCACATATATACAGGCGACGCCAGAATCAATGGCAATAGCGGCAGCTACGCATAGAAGTCACTTCATTCAGACTGCACCAGGGCCCTTGTGATTAGACTGATCTAAAAGAAGTCGGGGTTTGATGTAATCTTCGTCCAGCTGTCGGAACCACGCCGCGTGGTCTCCCGATGCCCCTGAGAAGAGGTCCCGGATCGCCGCCCTTGCGCTCAATGTTGTCTCGCGTCGCATAGGAGAGGTATTGGCCGGGGTTTGGTCCTGGGACCCTCCCAAATACTGTTGGGGTTGCGAGGGAGACCGCCGCAGTCGAGACGTAGGAGCTGAAGGGGGAAGGTCGTCATCCGAGGGCTCATCACCTACATCGAGATCGAAGGCATCGAGCTGATCGGCATCTGTTGCACGACCCTTGCCATTATTCTTCAATCCAAATTCATCCTCGCTTGCCGCGCTGCTCTCGCTGTGGCTCCGAGGCCGGCCACCCAACAAAGTAGCTGTTGAGGAACGGTCACGAGCGGTGTCTCGCTGACTGTAGGCATTCGAGTACATTCGGGAATGTCCTCGAGAGCCAGACGGCGGAGGACTGGGACGACGGTTGTTACCACTGGAGTAGCTATCGTGGCGGTCGAGCTCGCCCCGCGGAATGCCATCCAAAGGAATGGTCGAATCAATGCGGCGAGGAGTGTATCCCAAGCCTGTGTCAGAGCGTTTATAATATGTGCCGCCATTGGTCACCTCGATATCAAACTCATCATCTGACTCAATTTCCTCCACAACACCGGTCCGAATCCCGAGAATCTCCAGCATTCGAGCGGTGGTACCACCAAAGATAATCACGGTCAGCACGACGACCACAAGTACCGTAGCACGGAGTGCTGGAGCATTGACACCTTTTAGGCCGGCGGCTAGGGCCACACCAACAGCTCCACGCAAGCCCGCCCAGAAGAGCATGGCTTGATAAGCAAAAGGTAGCTCATCTGCAACGTCCATGCCACGGCGACGGGCTCTGTACCGAATGAACCAATTGATCGCTCGAGACAATGGGAACACCGCCAGGTAGCGGGCTATACAGATACCGAAAACGGCCACAAGAATGAATAAGGGCTTGAACTGTAAATTCCTCTGGACAAGAAGGTCCAACCCAAGGTATATGAAGATAAAGTTCTCGGATAATTGTGCCATCACTTGGAAGAGGTACTTCGTCGTCAACTGCGTCCGGCGGGACATGTTGTAGTACGCATAATGTTTCATGGTAATGCCGCAGAACAGGAGAGATACAATACCTGGTCTATTGTCAGCCTGACTCCAGAACAATGAGGAAATGCAACCTACCGGAGAGGTAGACACCGTTAGAGAAGAAGTAGCTGGCGTAGGCAATAAGCACGATCAGACAGCTTTCAATCTTCGGCTGGCGTCTGACATGAGTATATTTCAGACCAAGGGCAGTCATGATGCCAACGATAACGCCGACAATCATACTTCCGAAGAAGACGAGCAAGAACAGCCCAATAGCCTCAAATAGGTTCAAGAAAGTCAGAGAGCCCGCCTCACTATCGGCATACTTCTGCGCGGTCTCGAACAGGACGATCGCGATGGCGTCATTCAGGATTGATTCACCGAAAATGACCGTATAGAGCTTGGGCTCGACCTTGTATAGGTTGAAGATGGCCAAGATGGTAACGGGATCC